TTTCTTTTTTTTTATTTTTATCAAAAATAAAATTATTCATTTCTATCCGCTGTTATTTTGATCTCTTCTACATGTGTATAAAAGTTGAAAGAAAATAAAAGAAAAACGTGATATGTAACATCGATAAGACATAGTATTGAAAGTCGTTCTACATTTCATCTTGAAGAGCACTTTCTTTTTTACTCTTTTGTCTTCTACGTATCAAAAACATTTTTAGAATGTCTTGTAGAACATTTCATGTTCATTCTTCTTCTACAATATTTGATGTTTTGGTTTGATTTTGTTTTAAATGAAAAACTATTGACTTTTTCAAGATAAAATTCAAAATCTTATGATGTATTTTTTTTTAAAATAAATAAATTTTCGATAGAAAATCATCAGAAGTTAGTAGAATTAAATGTGTCATATTAACATCTGACAAATTTTGCTCATAGATCTATCTGATGATGATGAAAATCTAATGTTCATATGATTTTCTATTGCAAAGATATTTGACATAGAAAAATTCGTTTTTTTCATTGATATAAATAATTTTTCTACTTTTTTCAGAAAAGACTCACTGTATAAATGAATTATGTCTCTATTCAATGATTTTAGACCCTTCGATTGTCTTTTATTCCAATATTTGATTAAAATTAGAAAATTCTTTTGTAGAAGTGAATGACGATGTTGACTATTTTCTAGAATAATGTTACAATAACCTTTAGTAGAGTAAATTTTATTCATTTTTTGATACTTTTTTTATATACAAATGTAAATAATATGTACAATTAAGTTGTGTAAATGCTTTGAACGATGAAATATGACTAGTCATCATTTATTTTTTCTTTCATTTCACTAAAAGATATGCTAGAAATATTTTTGTAATAGAAAATTGTCTGTAATATTTAATAATTTTTTTTATTAATTTTTATGCTCGAGATATGATAAAGTATACAATTTTTATCAATAATTATTTTTGAAAAATGTCAAATAAAAAATTTTCTAATATCTAAATGAGTTTTCTTTCAATATCGTTTATAGATTGACACACGTATTTGTGTCGTTTTATAATAATTTTATCTTGTATTCTCATAAAATAAATCATAAATATTCTGGTCTTAATATTCGCATAAGTGGATAATATATAATTCTCATAATGTTCATGGAAAAGATCGATCCTATGAATGAAAATGTATAAATATTAAAATTTTTATTTTTTTTGTCGTCTATTGATCTAAATTTAAAATATAATGTAAATGATAATGGTAGAACTTGCAGAAGAAATGTATTCATTTTTTTGTAGTTAATTTATGTTTGAATACTGAAATTTATTAAAATCAGAACTTTCGATGAATTGAATATGAATCTGTCGATTTGAAAGCTTTGATTTTAATAAATTTCAGTATTCAAACAATTATTAGCTACAAAATAATGCATACATTTCTAAATTTAGAAATTCTCATCCGTTTTTTAATTAATAATAAATACCATCATGTCTGTCTTGTGAGTTGACAACTCTAAATCTTACGTATGTGAAATAAGAGTTTTTGGTTTTCTGAGTAAAAATTCTTGATTCGATAGAAATGTATCAATGAGATGATATTTGTACTGTAATATAAAAAAGTTCTTATCGAAGTATCAATTTTTTTTCAATATTAATCAGTTGTATTTTAAATTATTGTAAAACATCATAATTGAATTTTTTTCGTAGGAATTCTAGGTCATTTCTAAGTATTCTTTACATAAATGAGAAATAAAGCGATTATATATTATATAAAAATAGAGTTGATAAACTTTTTTTTTTTTTTCTCTTTTGCTGAATATACAAAATATAGCGATTTTCGTACTCATTGGTACGACGTATTCATTTCAATAATAATGAATACTAGAAACAATTTTCTTTTTTTTTTTTGTACGAAAGATAGTTTAGAAAGAGAGAGAAAGAGAGAGAGAGAAAAAAACAAATTACAAATACTTTCTCTAGGAAAAATATTGAGCAATTTTTTTCTAAAAAATATTGTCGTAGAATCGTTAAAAAGATGCGAATATGTTTTTATTGCACATTCGATATAGTAAAATAATAATATTTCACAATATTAAATAAATATCTTTTGTTATCTCGTATTTAGAAAGAGTATAAGATATTCTTTTCTTTTTTTTTATAAAGTTTGATTTTATTTATTTTTGGTTATAATTTTTTTTAAACCACATTTGAGGTATGTATGTAATGCGTGTCTATACATTATTAATCGATATGGACCATTGCCTATATTAAACATAAAAATATTTAGCTTAGGTATAGACTCTATACATTCTTCTTCTTTTTTTCGTCGTGTTTTTAAATACACGGTATAATATAAACAAAAAAAAATAGTGTACACACATTGTTCACTGATTTCATATTTGTTATTTCTTACCATTTTTTCTAAACTACTTTCTTTAATCCTTACTTCAATAAATTACATTTTTCTCCTTGTACTACAATGACAGACGAATTACTCACAGATGATCGATGTTTTGTCTCCGTTTTACAATAGAAAAAGAATATGTATCTCTCAAGTTCAAATTATGAAAGAGTAATCCATATTTGTTTATTTTTATTATTCGAATAATTTTGTTTTGTTTTAATGTTTTATAATATCAATGATCGTTTTTTCGCTACTAAGAACATCATCTTCAATAAGATACATTCAAATGATACACATTTTTAACTGTTCAAGTTCAGCTAGAAATCGACTCAAGAATGAAAAAGAAAAGATTCTTTATACATTTATTAGGTTCTCAATTTTGACATGATCAGCTAGGAATAATTTATCGAAATTACATTTGAAAAAATTATTCGGGTATACTTATTCTCTTAAAAACAAAAATGTTACAAGTTAACATTCAACTAATACTATGTGATTTTCTTTAAATGAGAAAAACTTTTTGAAAATTGATCGCGATCATGTTTATCGAATTCTGTTTAAAAAAAATGAAAAGAAATAATGATGAGCTGTGAAAACAGAAGTGAAAATTAAAAAACAAAAAAAAAATCTATTTCTAAATATTTGTAAAAGTGTGAAAAATGATAATTTTATCATAGATAACTTATGTATTTATGTTTTATTATTATTTTACTTCGTTTGATAATAAATCCTAAATGTTTTTTTTTATGTTTAATTTTTTCTTTTATTGGTTATTGAGTAAAATAGGAGATTATGACTGGTATCGGGAATTGTATGGAAAAGTCAGACAGAAGAAAGAAAAATGACTGATCCATTTTTTAACCTTGGAAGAAAATAAAAAAAGAAAATCTCGTTTTTTTTTATATTCTTCTTTTCCATTGTTATGTATGTATCTATATGGTTATGAAAGAAGAAAATAAAGAAGAAAGGAAAGAAAATAAAGAACGATAAGACACAATAGACATACACACGTTGCCGCCTGTCCCGTTGCTAAACAATTGACTTTAGAAGAAAATGGATGAAAATTTATTCTTTGCATCTTGCATATATACACAAATATATATACAAAAGAACGCGAATTACACTTCGCAGTTGTCTTTTTTTTTTGTTATTTGTTGTGTGTACCATAGAGTAGAAGAAAAAACAAAAAAAAACAAAAAGAAACAAAAAAGAAAAAAAAAAGAGAAAAATATATTCTTTTCTTGTCATTGCCAATCATCGTGTTTTATAAGAGAGAATAATGGATTTTTTAATAAAAAGGAAAAGAAACGAAAACGTTTTTTTTTTCTTTTTTTTTGTTTTCCTTCTCTTTGTTATATAGATTCGTAAGAGAAATGAGACAGATGTTTTTATATTCTAGCAGTATAGAAAGCTAACTACTATAATAACCATTCAGTTTTTTAACAGAGAAGAGAGTATGCGTTCCACAGTTTTCTCTACGTGTTGTTGTTATTCCCAATCTAACTAATTTTCCTCTTCTTTCGTGTTCATAAAAAAAAAAAAAAGTAAAAATTATAAATCTTTCTTGTTAAACATGCACATTTACTATAAAAAAAAAAAAGAAGAAGGATAACTTTATCGCTATTACGAAGCCAGATTTTATCAGTAAAAATTCTACACATTATAGTTATGATTATATGCAAACAGTATTTTGATTTATATATTTACATACAGTAAAGTAATGAAATAAACAGGAGATGAAACGTGATCATATTTTACAGAGGTAGTTTTTGTTTTGTTTTTTTTGAAAAGGAGTTTTTGTAAATAAAAAGAAAAGATACTGTGTTGTTGTTATTTTCTTCCAATGAAAATTTATATAATTATTTTTCTATAAAACTTATTTAATAGATATTTTCTCAAGCCATTAAAATAAGTTGATTGTTATTAGTTAGTTTGTATAAATGAATAGTATTTCAAAATTAAGAATGGACTATTTGTTATTCACCATTTTAGATTAAATATAATAGTTTTAGTTTTATTATAGTTTATTGATAGTTAGTTGTTTATTCAAAGTCTCAAATCTCTCTATTTACACAAAATTGATTTTGTATTTTGATCGTTTAAGTGTTAGGTAAATCTATTCTGGAAGAATATAGTTTTATATCAGATATAAAATTGTTTAATCTACTTTTGTGTGAAAATATTAACTTTATCTTCATTGTCGAGATACTCAGTTCATCTCTGACATTGTCATCAGAAACTTATTTTTTTTTCATAATTCTTTTAGTTTTATTAAAGTCATAAAGCAGAGAAGGAGAGAGTCAGAGTTGAAGGAATTTCCTTTTAAAATGCTTACGGCAGTAATAAAAGAGTTATGATTAATAGAAATAAAACATGTTTTTACAAATTTTGCTGTACAAAAAAAAAAAAACGTCAGATATCATAATCCTATCTTAAAAGTGTAAGATGAGATAATATTCGATGTAACATCAAAAATTAATTTCTGCAATCTCAAATGTGATGTTCAAAATTTGATCTAATCGAATCTAATATTGTTTCTTGTCTATTTTAGGTTAATCAATAACGAATCGTTGTTTATTTCCTATCGCGTCTTAATAGTTTCATTAAAAAATGGTCGATTCATCGGAACAAACTGTTCGTGATTGTGAAGCATATATAGCTAAACATGATATACAAAATTTATTACGTGATTGTATTGTGCAATTATGTTTGAAAAAACCCGATAATCCTATTAGTTTCTTATCTACATATTTTGAAAAATTGGATACAACAAAATTATCCATGCAACATCATACATCACGTTGTCAACAACAGCAAGGTGGTTCAAGAACATCTCATTCGCCTGATCAACATGATCAGCAAACAACAAAACCAAAAGGCACATCATCAGTTTCATCACCACGATCTACAACAGATTCACATCAGAATGGACAAGATCAAGATGGTTTAGGAGATTTAGGTATAGATTTTTCAAAGTAAAAAAAGAATGAATCGTACATTAAATTATATCTCTATATTTTCTTCTTAGATTCTGCTCCAACTGGTAGTGCTGTTAAAGCACGTGATCGTCGTGGTGCTGTATCAGCAGAACCATTTAAAGAAGAAGATGCAACATCATATGTTAAAACTGTAATACCAAAAGATTATGCAACAATGCAAGCGCTATCCAAAGCGATACAATCAAATTTATTATTTAGTCATTTGGATGATAGTGAAAAATCGGATATATTTGATGCTATGCAACCGTTTAATCATAAAACAGGTGACACAATTATTCAACAAGGTGAAGAAGGCGATTTTTTTTATATTATTGATCAAGGTGAAGTGGACGTTTATGTCAATAATAAATGTGTTACATCTATATCCGATAGTGGAAGTTTTGGAGAATTGGCATTAATTTATGGAACACCTCGTGCAGCAACAATTAAAGCTAAAACAGACTGTAAATTATGGGCCATTGATAGAAAGGTACAATTTAGATACGATCAAAGATCAATCTAAATTCACATTTGAGTGAATAGGCTTATTTCACAAGAATGATATTGATAAAAAAATGTTGTGTTTTTTTTAGACTTATCGTCGTATATTGATGGGTAGCACAATTAAGAAACGTAAAATGTATGAAGAATTTTTATCGAAAGTGAAAATTTTACAAGAATTAGATCAATGGGAACGCTTAACGGTGGCTGATGCTTTAGAACCTGTTCAATTTAATGATGGTGATAATATTGTTGTGCAAGGAGAACCTGGAAATGATTTTTTCATTATTGTTGAAGGTATGGTACAATTAGACACATCGTGTTTGACTATTATCTAGTTTTACATTAAAAAGAAAGAAAGAAAAATGATATAGTCAGTTTTAAAAAAAGGAGTGACTTTTTTCCTACTATCTCATTACATTTAATGTATTTGTTATGTTTATGTGTATATTTTAGGTCAAGCTGTTGTTTATCAAAAACGTTCAGAAGATGAACAACCGTTAGAAGTTAGTAAATTGGGACCATCAGACTTTTTTGGTGAAATAGCATTATTATTTGATCGCCCACGTGCAGCCACAGTAAAAGCTCGAGGTCTATTGAAATGTGTCAAGATGGATCGAGGTCGATTTGAAAGAGTATTGGGACCAATCTCGGACATATTAAAACGAAATGTTGCTCAATATAACTCATTTATTAATTTAGCCGTTTAATTCCGTTGTCTTTGTGTTTTTATTATGCGGTGATGATTATAGATTAGCACAACTTCAACAACAGAAAAAAAAGTTGTGTGGATAGTAGCACTACACTTTTTTTACTGGCTTTTGCTTTTCTCTTTTTTCTGTATCTATTGTTATACATTGCAGCCTTACTATTGAAACAGTGAAATGAGATACATATTCTTTTTTTCTAATTCCCCCTTCGTAAAAACAAACATTTTTTTTTTCTGCTCTTTCGTTGTTATATACTATTTTGTTGTTTCGTTGTTTATTTGTTTTCTCCTTCTTTACTTTATTGTGTCATTATTTTTTTTTTTTGAGAAAGCAGATGAACGTTGGAATTTCTTCTCTCTCTCTCTCACTCTTTTTTTTTCTTTCTTTCTTTGATCCTACTATGTATTCTAAACAAAACAAATCTTATATATATATTTTTTTCCAGTGTAAACACAAACACAAGAGAAAACAAATGTAACTGACGGATATTTTGAACATTCGAAGTTTTGCATTATACACACACGCTGAAAAATGAATGATTTATATAACTCGACTCTTGTTCCTGGCGATTTTAAAATTTTATTATAATTAAATTTATGTTACTTCGTGTCTTTATATTCTACTGTAGCATCATTCACCATTGGTACATTTACTTTGTTCGAATATACAACATCATGATTTTGTTTGATGAATAACCTTTTTTCTTCAATTAATGGTCATTTGTTGTTATTACTCTCACCAGATCAGAGATTTTTAAGGAAGAATGACCCAAGAGAAATTAATATTTTCTTCACTATATAATATATATTCTTTTTTATTTCAACGAACTATATACTTGAGAGAATAGACGTATAAAGTATACAGTAAGACGAATTACTGAACGACCATTCTTAAAAACAAATTTAGTTTTTCATGAATTTAATGTATATTTTCTTTCTATTCAAACCGGTTATTAGAAATATTAGCCTGAAACTATCCAGATTCTATTGTATTCAATTTATACTGGTTGACTACGATTGTGATATATAGACCAGTTGCACCAAAAATATCAAGTACACATGCAAACGTACTACAAAGTAGGATAAAAAATAAATCAGCTTGATCTCATATAGAAAAACTAAAATTTTAACTACAAGCTGAGTCATCAAATATACATTTTATCAAACAATATTTCGGACTAGCACTTTTGACATGTCATTAGAATTTTACTGTGCTCGTTCAACTCGTATACATTCATAAAACTAACATTTTTGAAGAAAATCCATACTTTGTGCTACCCTATCTATTATCGTTGTTAAGATGCAAAAGGGTTTATTCAACGGTTTGATTTTTAATAGATTCTTAACAGACAAAAAGACAGTACAGAATTTGCAATCATCTACTACATCTGAAACATACCGAAATAAGGTAATTGGCTAATGCGAAGATATGATTTTTTAACGTTTAATCATACAAGAAAATTAAATAATTAGCGTAAAATGCTGATGAAAATTCTTCCACATTAAATTTGAATATATTTCTATAATATAGTCTGTAGTTTAAAGAAAACACTACACGATGGAAGTATTCAAATTTAAACAAACACTTCTTGGTACATGAATAGGTTGTTTCGGACATTATATAAAAATCGATCAGATGATCTACAGTTAGGATCAATATTTCAACTGTAGTATAGTAATCTCATTGAACGCAGTTTCTGTTCGTAAGTTATGAATCTAATATTATTTTTCAACAGAAATTGTACGTTTATGTACAATACAGGTTGTTTCCTTTGGCACCGAGTCGTACTGTAAGTCTCCAAAACATTTTTTAGTACAATTGGTTTAACATAAGAAAAATACGTGGAAAAAATATGTCATTTTTAATATTTCAATTTATGTTCAAAAACGCGCTATTTGTCCTCTATCGACTCAAATACTACATCTAAAATTTCGTCAATTACTTTCAAATGTGTAATCAAATTATTGAAATATGTCCTCTGATGACTACTAGAATTGCATATATTTAGAAAAAAAATACATCATTCAGCAAATCAAAGATCTTTAAAGGCTAGAATTTAAGACTCACAACTTGTTCGTATAGAAATTAAACTGAATACTTTTCAATCAAAAATAATATTCGATATGCTACACAAGTTTCGTGATTGTGACTTTTGGATTACTATCTGTATGATATTATATTCATGGCTACGAAATATTGTTATTTTGAAGCTGATCGGCTTGTAACAAAAGATTTCGATTCAAATCATTGTTAATTCAATGGTAACGTCTCACTTTTAAGTTTTTAGGAAATGATTTAGTCTCGTACCACTTATATCTTCGTTAAGAATCGTTTCACTCAATTGACTTTCCAATCTTTATACAGACGAGTGACCACTCGTTCTTACCTATTCCATAGCGTTAATATTTTACTGTTCACTAGTGTTCTAATATTACATCTATTGTAAGTTTCTAATTTGAAGAATCACAAGAACCTTCGAATGAGACTCTTTTAGATTGTATCCATAGAGGTAAAAAAAGTCTGCCCAATGTGATTTTCTTTGCGTCGTAACGCAAAATCAAAGTGAAAGGCCATCGTCACGACGTGTTAAGGGTTGTCTTTTTGCTTTGTAACGCAAAAAAGTTTTGTTTTAGAGTTTTTGCGTCAAATCACAGAAAAAGTTTTAACTCTTTTTCGAGTTTCAAACAATGATCCTATTAACCACTTTTATAATCGAGTGTTGCGAAAGAAAAGGTGTTTAATTCAAAAAAGATTTTTAAAAGAGCATAAAAACGTTATAAAACAGTATCTTTCGAGAAAAATGCCAGAAATACATTTTTATCGAGTAAACATATAACTGACAAATAAAACACACACCGGCGTTTAAGTTGATTCAATCAGAGCTGGGCATTGACCAAAAATATATTCTTTGTGATTCTTATTAGATGCAAAACAAATTTTTCCGATTATTTTATCAACAGTTATCAGAATTGATTGATCATCAACGTTTTTCAAAAATAGATTATCAAATTTCACGGTTATATTTTCAACTATTGCTTGTGATTGTCTGCATTTTTAACTTGCGTGTGACTGATATCATTTGTTTGAATTATTCGTTGAATAAATGCTATTTTTTAATTGACTATTTGTTTCATAAATAATAAAGGTAAATCGTATTCTTTTGCGTCTCGACGCAACAGGATCTGATTATTTAGCTACATACTGTAGTATGTAACAGACATGAAGAACTTTTAAGTCAAGTTATCACTCGACTACTCAGTATATAATTCTATTCTATGGAAAGGGGAAAAATTAGTTCACAACAGCTCATTTTTGAGTAAATTTGGTCGGTTATAAGCATGTTATATTGAAAAAAACTTTAAACTCACGTCTAAGCGTAAAAAAAGGCGTATAAAGATAAGTATTCGTTTCAAGAAAATCCTTGATAGAAGACAAAACATGCTTCATTTCAAGTCATAATAAGACGGTTAGATGCAGTTTTTCAAGAGCTATTCGACCTCTGTATTTTGGAATCAACTTTTAGTTGTGTTAACGATGACAAACTGAAATTTTAACTGAAAATCGCGCATCGCAAATTTAATTTTAAAATCTTACTACAGTGGATGTAACGTTTTTTTACGTCACCTGGCTGACTTTCCTTTGTAACAACCTTTTTATCGCGTTTTATTTCTCTTGATGATCCAAGTGTTGACCTTCGCACTTCATCTCTTTTCCTTTCGTTTATTTTGCTGATCTCTTGCTTCTGCATCAGCTAAAACAATACTGATCGATATTCCAAAAAATACTCAAGTACTTCCCAAAAAACTAGTGACCCTTTTTTTTACTATTTGCGTATCAAAGAGCCGATTTATTCGGAAACTTTTTCGGATTCATCGACTTCTTCAGAAAAAACTAGTACTGTACTTACCAGAAAATACTCGTACTCCTACTCATACTCGATCTTCCGTACTCGTACTCAGAAATCTGTGTAAACGCCCATCTCTGTAAGCTAGCAACTGCTAATTAGAAAAAATTGTTCCAGTTGGCTTAGAGAAAGGTACAAGAGTTTCAAGTTTGCTTTACGTAATTAGCTGTTGGACGTAAAGGGTTAAAATTATTTTTTCGTCATGTAGCCCAAACTTTCCTCCATCCAACAGTATGAAAAGTCTGTTTCTTCTCGGAGAAAATGCTTATGCACGAGAACTTTTCTTGCCGTATGAATAGTTTCTGCATGCACTGTACGCCATTAATTGAGATAGTGATCGAAGAACGCTACAAAAAAGTAATGTTAATATTCTTACTAAGTTTTTGTATAATATATATATGTTGTGCAAAAAATCTTCTGAAATATTCGGTCGTTTCTTAGTCAGATTAGAAATGTGAAAAGCTTCATCTGAGTGTTTCTCTTTACTTTACTTATGATAGTATTCTTTTATTTTCAGTTTTCTTTTGATAGAAAGATTCTGAACACTATGAAAAGCTGAACTTCCTTTTTAGTGCCGTATTGCTATAGCAGTTTGACCAGCTGATAAACTTTCAGGATCTGAAAAGTTAATTAAAGAAGAGGTTAGAGGATAAAATTACGGATCACTCTTTTTTTATCCAGGTTAATTAATTGTGTCTTAATGAGGTCAAAACTATACAGTCACTGTATGATTTTAACCTCCCCATGTTTATCAAACCGGCAAAAAACCGCCAATTAACATCGGTTAACTGTCCGATTAACCGCAATTAACTGCGAACCGGTACAAAATGCTCGGCTGACCGTGGTTAATTGACATTTTTTTGCTGAGCAAGCGATATGAGTACAAATCCTCTTCTGAACATTTTTTCATTTTTCTTTTGAGTGTGTATTCCATGCAGTAAAACTGTCGGTTAGCCAAAGTTCATACTGGTGAAGTTTTGAACTGAGCAGTACCTGTCTGCTTGCCAGGACTCTTAGATGCAGTCCAAAAGATATTTTGACTAAGTCGAAGTTCACACTTCAAGAAGTCGTGGAAAAAATTCCGAAGTTTTTCGATAAATCATGTTGTCCTTATATACATATAATGACCACAAAACAAACGGTGATTGAAAAAGAAACTGGTAACCGTCTGTTCTCCGAAATAACGCGGTCAATTGGCGGTTAATTTTCCAAACTGCTGTATCAAAAATACCGGCGGTTAATGGCGATTAAAAATTGACGGTTGATAGCAAACCGTGATCAACTGGCGGTCATTTGAACAAGCGCGGTTCACTGACGGTTTTCTATAAAAACAGAAGACGTGGGTTCCTCTCTCTGAGAGAAAGGAAGATTCAAAATAAAGCATTTCTCAACTGATTATCTCGTATTTGAATATTAACAATTTATTGATTAAAACATTTTTAATAAATGCCTGTTTTTATCCGGAGAAAAGAAATAGCCATTCATCTTTTTGATCTGGCTTTAAAACTGCCGGATATTTTCAGATTCTATATATAAATATACGCGTTTTTTATGTGCATTCCTTGCTGTGTGAACTGGGAATGCAGCGATACAAATCAATAAATTTCAAAACACACGCATAAATCTACATTTTTTCACACAATCTAGTGAAATTGATTGAGATCTATTACATCCGTATAATGTGTCAAACCTATTTATCAACATTGTATATTTATTCAATTTCTTATGACGTAAAATTTTTTTTCAATTTAGATACAGTGAAATTGTATGAACAATTTTTAAAAAAAATTCTAAAAATTCTTATGCGTTAAAAATTAACAAAAGTTTTTTGCCCTTCACTTTACTTAGTAGAAAAAAATTCTTCTCTGTTCAGAAATAATAGCGTTAGCTGTGTAGTCATGTACATTTTCTTTTCTTTAGTACGTTGCCATCCCACTATCTTATCTAGAACATAACTTAGAATATCGGTGAAAGAAGAAATTTCTAATTTTAAGGTAACTGAAGTAGAGAGAAAAAATAAATAAGAAAAGATTTAAGCAGAGTTCACTGTGTATTTATTTTATTAACCAATGTCGGTGAAAACGCAACAAACAACAACAACAACGCGTAATGTAATAATAGTAAAAAATATTTTAACATTTTTCTGGATAAAAATATCCACAAAGGGCCATTCGTGAGAATACTTTAATCTTCCCATGGATGGGCTGGACGATGACTACTAAAGGACAATATGGTGCATAGAAGAGTGTACATATGACATAATCAGTATCAAAGATGTTCAGATTTCCTTTAAATACAAACTGCGTTTCGTAATGTGTATGAGCTCACTATTGAACTCAAACTATTTGTGAGCAAATTACGAATGGCGTACAAGTTGCGATTAAAACGGACAATAAAAGAGACTACGAGGGATATCTGCTTTTAAGAATTTGATACTGCGTCGATGTGAGGGCGACACTATCGCTTGTGAAAGAACTCGAGTCAAGTATCAGACGTTTTACTTCATTGTTTAATCTAATTGTTCTACTAATCATAATGAGCCCAACATGTGTACGATAGAGTCAAGAGGTGTAAAAAATGTAAAATTAGCCATATAGCTTAAAACAGCAACATTTGATGTAAATTAATGAATTTAACGCCAACAGTTCAAATCCTGTCGAATGCTTAAAATTGAAAAAAAATCTAAAATATTTCCTGTCGAAATGCGCTAGGTTGGACGTATCGTAAAAGTTATCGTTCTGTTTATTCAGATCAGTAGAGAGACTGACATACTTATCTAATATAACCCTAGAATACTAACATGAGATAGATGAAACTTTTCATTTTATAACACTTACCATTATTGCTTAGGATACAATTATTACAATTTTAAAAAATAAACTTGTCTAAGATTACATTCAATCCATAGGCATAATAATGTCTATTAGAATTCATCGTCATAGTTCGGTGTACCATACAAATGAGTATCCATATTATCACAGCAGCATACTAAATAGGAACTGTGTGATAATAAAAACAAGTACTTTGTAGTACATTATCTCTTCTCAATTACTAAAATAACTAAACACATTCATGTTTCTTTCTGATAAAGTACTGATGCATAGTCGTTTACACTGTTTTATTTTATTTTTTTGTTTTAAAATTAGACATGTATTGTTTTAAAATAGAATAAGTTCTTTTTTAATAATATTATCACATTTTTTTTGTTCGACAGAAGGATGAAAATACGAACAATGTATGTACAAACCTTACTGTTGTGTAATATAACATGTACACGATATAAAAGAATAGAAGAAAAGAGTGAAGTACGGTCAATAATACAAGCACTAGATAGGAAAGAGAAAAGGCAATGAGTTGAATTGATGGGCAAGCATCAAACCGGATTTATTATTATGTAGTTTTATGAACGTTTTATTTTTGTGATCAGTCATAATTAAAATATATAGAAGAATGAATAATAACAATCCTTTGCAAGTACCATTAGAAACAGTTAAAAAACCAAAAGTGGTCAAACGTTCGTCGACTGCCTTTTCGATCTCGCCTTATTTTCAAAATTATGACCCAACCAAACCGGTCGAACCAACAACGGTCGAAAAACTATTATCAGAAGCCGGATCATTTGGAATCTATCAAATTTTTGTATTTCTCCTACTTGGATTTTCAGCCGTTATACCATCAATGATATCTTTTTCTTACACATTAGCAGCAGGTACGATGAAAACTAAGAAATCTTAAAAAATATATTGGCATATATAAACATATTAGGGTTCAGCAGTTTCCCATAGAATGAATATACCAGAGAAGTTCAACGGATGGAGCTAACAAACGGTAGTCAGTTAGTACTGTTTAGTATTTAAAAAAAACATAAGCAATGTATATAGGCTTAAGTACTTTGATGGTTTTTCTTTCTTGTTGTTTTGTTTCGTGTCATCTGATGACTCAAACTATATAAAAAGTTAATTGATCCGTACTGTATTAATAAACGCTTCGCTTTTCTTCTACTCAAGGTATTCCACCTCATCGTTGTAAATTATATGAAAATGAGACGTACATTGCGATAAATCCTCAACATCAACTTCTAATAGAAATATTTATTCCTGAATATAATCAGTTGACGAAACAAGATTACCAGTGTACGTTCAACAGAAAAATACCTAAAGAAACGATAAAATATTTAACAAAAAATTTAACATCACATACGATAGAAGAAATAATAAAAAGTATTGATAATGAGACATTGAAAGAAAGTGAATTTATTAAATCTCAATCATATATTACGCCAATAGCGACAAAATATAAGCGGTAAGTACAATTGATTTGTATAGACAGTTTATTTAAGACTAACAGTAGTATGATATTCTCCGTATTTTTCTCTTGTTTCTTTGGACCTTCAGGGTTCATGTTTTTCTTAAAGATGCACCTTGAAATTCTCTGTTAAAACATGTAAGAAGTTTTGGTTTATGATCAACACAAACTAACCTAAAAGAAAAGCTTTGAAAGGCGTTAAAGCGACCAACTTTGTAACTTAAAAGCGGCTTTCCTTCGTTCAGTTTTTTTGCAGTTGAAACACCGTCTAGGTTTTTTGTGTTGATCATAAACCAAAACTTCTTACATGTTCCAATAGAGAATTTCACAGCGTATCTTTTAAAAAAACATTAACCCTAGAGCCCAAAGGAAGAAGAGAAAATAGAAAATACGAAGGTTATCATTTATTATAGTACACCATAGTAGTTGGTAACGCGTTAATGAATAACAATCTCTCCTTCTTTCTGCAAAAGAAAAGAATGAACTTGATAAGATCAGTCTAATCAACAACCTTGAACTATCGATCAAAACAAAGAATAAATAGATTCCATCAATTATAGCGAAACAAGTCATCACGTATTAAAAAATTTGAAGGATAAAGCCCTTTGCTCTGATACCGTATATAGTCATTGTCTGAGAAATTATATCCAGATACTAGTTGATCATCTCATACAACTCTTTAATTCTAACAACACCATGTAGGGTTTTGAGCAAAGCAGAGCACTATGTACAATATTCTGTAGCTCAAACCATTCAGTTGACAAAGTAACGGTGGCAATCAGTTCTTGTATTTTTCAATGCGAGGCTGCATTTGACCGTGACTGAGGCGATACTATCTACAAGATAAACGACCCAAACATTTTCAAATATTCTATCAGCTGAACGATATCATTCAGAATACTTCAACATAGATCGAACTCGGAAATATTTTGTTCGCATCGTTCTGAGTCAGAGGAGTAATGCCACGACGATCACTAATCTCTTCTCAATATCATTTCTATATATGATTTGATATATAAACGCGATTCCAAGGAAGCCTCTTGGCGGATGGTACTGCTCTGCGAACGTCCAGTAACAACACCGCGAACGTCTCGAATCGCCTTTAAGAAGCCATTGACGCCTTCTGAAATTGAAATTCAGCAACATGAGACAAGAAATATGAGAAATGGCTAAAATTTTTGTACTCATTGCGACCAGAGAGGCGCAACTAATAAGACTGTAGTTTATATCACACATAAGGCACGTAAAACTGAGGATGTGTTTTCGTGGTTCTAGTATCAGAAGAACAAAACCACGTGAAAAATACGCTTGTTTATCAAGTCAGACTTTTTGAAAAGCTTTACCCAAGTCAACTTTCACGCCGAACTGGTGTTGTCACATCGCGATCACGCTAAAACTAATATCCCAATGCCCAGAGGTCTGACAAGACCCACCGCGACATCACGACAAAAGCGTGATCTTATCTTATTCCGTGCCTCTTATCGCGATCGCGGGACACGATTTTGACGTGGCTTTTCTGCATGAGTTCTGTTATGACTTTAACGTAACAGTTGATATGGGTAATACTAAAACACCTTGGCAGGGTAGCGCCTAAAGGTGCTAAAAGGTGGAACTTCCAATACTGACGAGGGAACCTCTTGAGATTATAAATCGCTTTTGAACTCGGACTACTTATATCTTGTAGATCTCAGTGAGTAGTGAAATACCCTAAGTTGGTTCATCCCCATGGTGCTTTCCCTAGTCGACCGATCTTACGGCAATTCTATAGAAATCTTATAGAAATCTTATAAGAATCTTATATAAGGCAGTCGATGGAAATGCGTAATTTATTGATAAGATTCTTATACGAAGGAATATAAGAATCTTATAAGATTCCGATAAGAATTCGGCAAGATAGGTTATATAATTATT